CATATACAAAACGAAAGTTTGTGGGGCGAAAGTAAAGGAAAGAAAGAATAATTTAGATTGTCCAAATACTTTTCAGAACGTTTTCTCTTTCTTTGCAAAAAGGTATTTTTACAGATGTTCCTATATCTATCTATCTATTTATCTATCTATATATATATATATATTAAACATACTCACACGGCTACATATGCTGACCGCAGAGTAAAGACCAAATTCACTACTAAATTGTAATGATTAAGCAGAATCACTCATTAGCTATTACGCTAAGGCGTGGCACATATGCTAATCGACATAATATTGGCACTTTGGCAAAACCCTTTGGTATACTTGGCAAGAATTTCTAGCATCTGTTTGCGTCTCCATGGTTTGGTGCTTAGAGAATATTTTCAGTTGGGATGCGCTTGAGGTTAAGAAGCTTTCTCAGGGTCCAAAGCCAGTCAAATCATTTGACTTGTATGATTTGAGTCCTACTGTCATGTGTATCAACCGTCACTCTTATCAGCAAATATATTTTACATTATATGATCATATATATATATATGTATACAGGGTGCGATGGGTAAATTGTTGCTATTATTTATTTTTAATTTCGCGCATGCGCGTTGTTTGTTTTTGGCATTGTCGACTGCACAGTATAGTAGGGTCAGTTGGGTACCATGAAAGTATTTGTAGAAAAGACAGAGAGAGGAGACGGCGCGTCTGTGAGAGAGTGACTGTAGACGATACGCCAGATCAGGGTCAGTTATATTACATATCCGCCTCTGGAACCTATCAAGAACCCCGAGGCAAACAGAAGGGGCACCAGACCATATATGGCAGCAATACTCCATGCAAGGGCGAATTGTTGATTTGGCAGCTATAATCCATGCAAGGGCGAATTGATATATATATATATATATATATATATATATATATATATATATATATATATCGTGTGTATTTAGGCAGTAAGTCCCTCATTTATACATGTTTCATTAAAGAGGACAGACACGGTAATGCGTTTAAACTTTTTGTTTAATCCTTGTTGTGTTCGAACAAGTGTTTTATTTTTTGGACACAGAGTCTGTAGAAAGTGTCCGAATGGTCTGTAATTGCGATTGCTTTCGGCTATACTTTTAGCCATTATCAAGGATGATTTTATTTTTACTTTTTAACTGGATGTGTGAATTGTGCGTATGTATCTGAAATTAAATGGATGTCTTATTTTCCGAACACAGCACATTATGGCTGTGTTCGTAGTTAATATTAATAAGTATTGACATTTTTATTTTTTTATTATTAAAGCTTCCATTATTTTTAATCTTTTTTTTTTTTACATGTGGATGAGGTTATTATGCTTGTATTTTCTACTAGTATGTTTCGGATTGAGTCTAAAGAAATACACTACTACAGTTGACCTGAACAAAACATTAAATTATCTACTACAAAAATTTAAAAACGCTAACATTATCCTCAAATATAATAGCAGACCAGCAAAATCAAAATTTCAACAAGCGAACATTATTCATGAGTTCAAATACCCCTTAAGGAACTGTGTTCCTGATCAAACCGAATTTATAAATAATTAAAGCGGTCACACTACTACATGCCTATCTAGACGTCTTACGTTACCCCTATCCGACCACAACTACATCAGAATCCATTTAAACACACACAAACTTACCAGACGCCCTCCGAAACATCCTAGTAGAAAATACAAGCAGAATAACCTCATCCATATGTAAAAAGAAAACTGTTATATTCTAATATGCTAATAGGAATATATACTTGAAAAACAAGGTGGATAAAAAATTTAAAAAACAGTACAATAAGAATAGAGATAACAGTTATGCACAAGGTCGTCGCAAGTCAATACAGTAGTGATTGCTACTATTAGAAGGTCAGTAGTTCTCGCGTAAGTCTGAGTTGTACTCAACAGATCCCAGCTAGTAATATTTACCAATCCCCTCATCGGGTAGGATGTGGCACAAGGCCGAATTTAATGTGGGGCATACCGAGCCCGTAGGCTAGGCCAAAAATTTCCCGTAAACCCCGCATAAACGGGTTCGGGTCTCTCTACCTCCCCGGACGAGACTCTGGCATAGCCTCGTCCGGGTCCGTCTCTTTTTATTTTTATATTTTCTATTTTGCCCATAGCTGGGCAAGAGAAGAGAAGAATTAATACATTTTTCCGATGGTATTAGCACATAAGTGAATTTAATGAACTTGAATGGAATTCTCAGATTCCTCAATACGAGACACGAAAGATTACACCGCTGTGCCGTCACATTTTGTATTTATTAATTTAATGGACTCGCCCGTGATCTTCGATGTATGAGGCTCGAGTAACTCCGTTCTTAGAAAACGAACAGCCAAACTACGCATGCATATGATTATCGAATAGGCTATTTTCCCCGTGCCGGTAAAATAGACACCAAGTCTATTTTGCCGGTAAATATAAATAGTGTTTTAGAACTAAGAATGTATTATATTTCAGATCCTAGGGCACCTCGGCGTGGTGTAATGGTTAGCAAGCTTGTCTCGCTAGATCAGTTACGACTGAAAAGTGAGTTCGATCCTCACTAGGTGTCCCATACTTTCGGCCTTGT